CACTGTGAGTCGGAACCAACTCCACGACACATAACAACATATATATATATATATATATATTTGTACCTTCAGTATTTCAAATCTATTTTTCCTGATTTGAGTGTGAATTACATGATTGATAGTTATAAGCTGTCTTTATGCCAGTGTTGTTGTTGTTGTTGAGTGCCATCGCGTCAGTTCTGACTCATAGTAACCCTGTAGAGAGTTTCTGAGTACTGGCTATGGGTTTATCCTGCCACCCTTGCAGTAAGCAGTCCAGTGCTTATCCTACAGCACCACACCAGGATAGTACGTGAATTTTGACAGCAAGATGACTGGATTAATATGCCCAGTGTTACCTTCTGAAATCAAGTGGTAGTTAGACGTTTTGGTTTTTCATTTGTTGGCTATGGTACATATGGAGTGATAAAATGCCCCAGACAAGTGTCTGAAGTTTTTACTATTTATTATTAGTTTAACAAAGTGAACCTTTCCCTTTTTTATGACTGACTCCTCCAATGACCAGTAATCGCTATGGTATTCCGGCGACTCCATAAAAGGACCCCTCTCAGCTGAAATCATTTCTGTGATAAGGAAGATGAGAAGAAATTATTTAATGCAATGCTTGAATTTGGGGCATATTCGTAATTGAGATTATAACCAAAAATCTGCCTACCAAGCCTAAGAAAGTGGCTACATCAAGTTCCTGGTGAATCATGTGATTTGATTGGTATTGGTAAGGGAAATCAATCACTTACATCAACTGCTGATACTGGTTGCAAAATACTAAAAATAAGTACCCAGGTTTTCTGAGTTCTTACTGTACACCAGGCATTTTTCTAGGTGCTTCATACTATTAGCTCACTTAACCCGTACAAAAACCCTGTGATATAGTTCTCTTATCCCCATCTTACAGATGAGAAAAAAATCTATACCTCAATCCTTAAGCTGCACTTCCTTAGGAACAGAGTTTAGAATCCTAGAATGGTCCTGTTCTTAGAGAGATGCTTCTCACAGCTGCTTTCTTTTCAGTCATATCCAGGCCAAGCAGCTGCATTCTGCTCTTGCCGCTTACATGGTGGTGGGGGTTATGTGCCGTGGAGTCGGTTCCAACTCATAGTGACCCTGTACAGGGGTTTCCGAGGCTGTAAATCTTTACAGGAGCAGAGCGCCTCATCTTTCTCCCACGGAACAGCTGGTAGTTTCGAACTGCTGACCTTGAGGTTTGCAGCACAATTCGTAACCACTACGCTACCAGAACTCCTTTGCCACTTACGTAGCAGGTCCTTATTGAACACGGAATTTTCAAGGTGGCTGTTAAAAGTAAAAATGTCATTGGAGTCGTGCGGTACTTAAGCAGGTGAGCAGAGTCTCTGGAGGTAGGCTTGTCTGTGTCCTGTTGTCACCGCAGATTTTTATCTTCCCTTCAGGTCTGCCAGGTCAGCGCTCAGCAGCCGGTCCAGGCAGAGCTCATGCTGAGGTACCAGCAGCTACAGTCACGACTGGCCACACTCAAAATCGAGAACGAAGAGGTAAGCATGCTTTCTGTTCCCATAAGTGATCTAAATGTCAGTTGGAAGGCATTTCTGATGACAGTTACATATGTAATGTCCTAAGCAGGGTCTCTTCAACATGCTATAAATAGAGGCATTTTCAGGTAAATTGAGATTTTTTCTAAATACTTCTTGCCAAGATTACCACCACTCATCTGTCAGTTTGTCATACTGTGGTGATTTGTGTGTTGCTATGATGCTGGAAGCTATACCTTCCAGTATCTTAAATACCCACAGGGCCATCCATGGTGGGTAGGTTTCAGCAGAGCTTCTAGACTAAGACAGGCTAGGAAGACGGAGAGACAGACCATTTGTAAAGGGTTAGCCACTGAAAACCTTATGAACAACAGCAGAACATAGTTACATATGTACCAGAAGATGAGCGAGCCCCTCCTGTTGGAAGGCACTCCAGAATACAACTAAGGAAGAGTTCCTCCTCAAAGCAGAATGGACCATAATGATGTGAACTTTAGGACCTTCATTTACTGATGAGGCACAAATCAAGACAAGAAGAAACAGTTGCAAACAACCATTAATAATGCTGTGGAGGATGAATGCAAGGATTCTGTATTATCCAACAGACTAATTCTTTATCGGAGTTTCAATACACACACGTAAACCAAAAGAATTTAGCCTCATTTCCCTTGAGTCAGTTCTAATTCATGGAAGCCCCTTGTGTTCTAGAGTAGAATTGGTCCAGAGATGTGTTAGTTATCTCATGCTGCTATGAAGAAATACCACAAATGATAGATTTCACACACAAAAATGCATTTTCTTATAGCTTAGGAGGCTAGAAGTCTGGATTCAGGTCTAGGGGAAGGCTTATTCTCTGTTGGCTCTGGGGGAAATTTCTCATCATCTTTCAACATCTGTGGGCTTTCCTGGGAGATCTTTATGAGTCTTGGCATCGCTCTTCTCCTGGGGTCTCAGTGTAGGGACCCTGGGTCCCAGGGATACACTCAGTTCCAGGATCTTCTTTCTTGGTGATCGCAAGGCCTCGCTCCTCTCTCCTTTTCTCTCTCTTGCAAGATAAAAAGTGTAACTTAAGTAAGGGTGTGATTTAAATAATACCCTCTTGCAAGGCTGTCTCTCAAGATAGACTCCACCTCCTGCCTCATTATCATATATAGGTTACAAATTATAATGCATGAAATGGAAGATAATTATATAATATCACAGAATATAAGATATTTATATCAGAACACAAAATGGATGGCAACCACACATAATATTAGTTAGTAATTATGACCAATGTAATACAATAAGCAATGGAATGCAAACCATGAGCGCTCAGTGGTTCAAACCCACCAGCAGCTCCTTGGAAACCCTGTACAGGATTGATATGGGTAAAGTGCTTGACATCACTTAACAGCAACAACAGATATTATGATATTGGGGGGGATGTAATTCATTCCATGACAGTAGGGTTTTCTTGGCTTTAATCATTGTGTAAGAAAATTGCCAGCCCTTTCTTCTGCATAAATATATATATCTTCTAATACACCTTTTAAGGAGCTCTGGTAGCGTAGTGGTTACGAATCGGGCTGCGAACCTTAAGGTCAGCGGTTCAAAACTACCAGCCGCTCCGCAGGAGAAAGATGAGGCTTTCTACTCCCGTAAAGATTTACACCCTCGGAAACCCTATACAGGGTCGCTATGGGTCGGAACCGACTCGACGGCACTTAACAACAACAACAATACACCTTTTATCTTTAAATTGTGATTCATACTGAAAATAATCCCACTGATTATCAAAGTCAATATCTCTGTCTAAGGATATGCAATACATCAAGTTGAATGGCTGATGCAATATTTTATTTTTTTAAGTTTTTATTGTTAATTGAGTGAAGTTTACAAGGCAGATCATCAGTTGTACATTCAACAAATCATAAACCTTGTTTCATTACAGTGGTCATAATCCCCTCCATGTACCATCAGTTAACAGTATTTCTCTCTATTCATTTTAGCTCTTTTTAAAAAAAAACAACAACTCAGGAATCTGTAATAATTTAAACCACAAAAGGGCACATTCTGCAAGTCTGCCTCCTGGCTGCCACCTCTCAGTCCTTCTCTTTTCATGAATCTGGAGTCTTCAGCTGCTCCCTCTCTCCATGTCCCCATCTCTATCTCCATCTCTGGTGTTGCTGCTTCTCTGGATAAGGTCCTGCATTCTGCTTGTGCTCTTCTCCCTTGACGGTCCTAGTGTCCTGTGTTTCTGGACTGTAAGATTAAGTACTCCCCATTTTTGTTATAAAACTTCTACCTTTACAGCTGTGACAGTCGCAGTTAGTCATGATAACAATTACTCATATTTAATCATAAATATCTTATCTCCATCTCTTTTTACCAGACCCATGCACAGGAACTTTTGACTGGCATTTAATTTAATCTTAACTCTAATATTTAGTACTTTTCTCTTTATTTTTCTGTATTTTCTAAGTTTTTTATAATAAACTTTATATTACTGCTATAATTATTATATAAAAATTTCATATTACAATAGTATTTGAATGAGGATAATATTTATTTGATGACATTAGTGGATTTAAGTGAATATAGCTTAAAACGTGAATTATAAAGATGTGTTGATCCAAAAAGCAGTGAACACTTCAGCTGCCTCTTTCTGAAATTAGTTTAATTGGATCCACATTCTCCTAAAATAACATTATGAACCACAGATGTTTCTTATATTAGTCAGGCCTCTTATTTGTAATTTATAGAACTCCAAATCAAACTTACTGAAGCTTATTGGTCAGTGTTCACAATAGCCTCTGACAAAATTGAATCTGTTTTTAAATGATATTTTCAGGAATCTCTCTTCACTTTGCTGGCCTCGTTTATGCTGATGGGGTTTCATTTTTTCCCCATAATGGGGGTAGATTCCGAGGCTAGTGTTGTGTATCGATTGCCATCTCAGAAAGAAAGGTAGTGGTTTTGTGCCGTGGAGTTGGTTCTGACTCATAGCGACCCTGCGTTGGGTTTCTGAGGTTGTAAATCTTTACAGGAGTAGAAAGCCTCATCTTTCTCCCTTGGAACTGGTAGTTTCGAATTGCTGACCTTGAGATTAGCAGCTCAACTCGTAACCAGACCTCCTTAGAAAGAAAGGTACAGCCCTGCAAAAAAATGTCATGGAGGCATTATCTGACCTCCTGTGACTTTACAACGAAGAAGAAGGATCAAAACTTACATCAGCCCAAGGCCAGTTCCTAGGAGGCAAGGGTCGGAAATCCTCCACCCTACAACCTTCTTTACTAATTCTGCACCAACCATCCCGACCAAGACATTCTCTACTGCATTCGATATCTGTTACAACGACCACACCATTCACAGACAATACTCACAATTCCAAATTTATTAGGATAATTGTTGTTGTTATGTGCCGTGGAGTTGGTTCCAACTCATAAAGACCCTGTACAGGGTTTCTGAGACAGTAAATCTTTACAGGAGCAGAAAGCCTTAGCTTTCTCCCACGGAGCAACTGGTAGTTTCAAACTGTTGACTGTAAGATTAGCAGCCCAATTAATTCGTAACCACTACTCTACCAGAGCTCCTTATTAGGATAGTTAATTAGCAGGCTACAATTCAGGATCAGAAATACTCAGGGCAAGTTCTTCCAGTCACTACAGCTTCTTCTCAGCCATATCTGCAGGCACACCTTTCTCTGGTCCTTGGCCTCTCAGCTTAACAGTATCTTGGCCTCTGCCATTCTTGGGCAGTGTTAGTTACAAAACTCTTTTTAGGCTGCTGAGAAATGCCCAAAGGGCACTCCACTCATAAGCCTCAACCCAGAGGTGCTGAGCTCTAGATCCATGGGTTGGCAAATGTAGCTCCCTAGAGTAAGTGCATGAAGGTACCCACTTCATAAATAAGTCTTGTAACCGAAGGTACTCAGCTTTATTCCGTCCATGGGCTGGGAAGCCCACCACTCAGTCTTGTGCTCTGGCTCTTGGTTCTGCTGCTGCTGTTCCTCTGCAGCTTTTTTGCCACTTCTCTGGTGTCATAGCTTCTGGTTTTGGATCAAGGAGGTTCCATACACCAGGGATCTTGGGGGCCAAAGGCTGCACCCTACTCTTGGCTCTTCTTTCTTGATGGTAGTGAGATCCCCCTTTCTGCTTTAGAGATGAGTCATTTTAAGCCCAGCCAAAGGCAAAATTGACCAATTATCCTTATTAGATTTCTCAGTTTTTACCATTACACTTAGTTCTGCTAACATTCACTCACAATTGAATCATATAATCCTGTCAGCATCTTCTACCACCTTCTCATACCCAGACACAGCAGGAAAAAGAGAAAATGTATCCAATCTGTTTATTCACATCCAGTCACTTGATCAGAGTTACAAAATCCCTGCAAGTCTGGAAGAGCCATATTAAATAATTCACTGCACCACAAACCCCTTCTCATACCCTTACCTTTAAAACAAGACTCTTCATTGGCCTAGCTTAAGTCATGTCTACCTCTGGGCTAACTATTATATCCAACAATTGGTATTCTTTCATTGACCAGCCTGGCTTTTATGTCCACTCAGAACTCTGTATTGACTGTTGATGCTGTTACATACTATCAGGCGACCCTGTCTACAACAGAACAAAACACAGCCTGACCCTGCACCATCCTCATAATTATTGTTGTGTTTGAGCCCATTGTTGCAGCCACCGTGTCCATCTATCTCACTGGGGGGGAGGGGGGAGGAAGGGGTCTTCGTAGCAGTTACAAGTCAAACTACCAACCTCAAGGTCAGAGTCAGAACTGAATCCACAGCACACCACCACCACCACCTACTGTACCAAGCATGAGGTCGGTCCTTCTCCACAAATTGGTTCCTCCTGATAACATGTCCAAAATACAAGAGACGATGTCTTGCCTTCCTTGCTTCTAAAGGTTATTCTGGCTAACCTTCTTCCAAGAAAGTCGAAGGACCCCTGGTAGTCCAATGGTAGCATTTGGCTGCGAATCCAAAAGTCAGCAGTTTAAACCCACCAGCCACCCAGACACTGCACATGAGGAAGATAAGGTAGTCTGTTCTCATAAAGAGTATATATAGCCTTGGAAACCCTCTGGGCCAGTTCTGCTCTGTCCTGTTGAGTCACTGTGAGTTGGAATCAGCTCAACAACAATAACTTTGGTTTGGAGGAGCCCTGGTGGTGCAGTGATTAAGCATTTGAGTGCTAACCAAAAGATCAGCGGTTCAAACTCACCAGCTACTCCACAGAAGAAAGATATGATAGTCTGCTCTAAAGATTACAGTTTTGGAAACCCTGTGGGGAAGTCCAACAGTGGTAGAGAAAGGCATTTCCCCAAAGGAACGAATGTAGGACAGAAAGAATTCATTTTAGCTCCCTGTTTTATTTTCATCTTTTGTTTCATCATCTGTTTTGTTATGGACTATGGGAATGTGTATTTGTTTCTGTTAAGAAAGAGTGATGTGTTTGTAGATCAGTACTGTTGTTGTTAAAGTGCTGTTGAATCAATTTCGACTCCTCTATAGGGTTTCCATGCGAGAGAAAGATGAGGCTTTCTGCTCCCGTAAAGATTTACAGCCTTGGAAACCCTGTTCAGGGTCGCTATGGGTCGGAACTGACTCGACGGCACTTAACAACAACAACATAGGATTTCCAAGGAGCTCTGGTAGCATAGTAGTTACGAATCAGGCTGCTAACCTCAGGGTCAGCAATTCGAAACTACCAGCTGTTCCACAGGAGAAAGATGAGGCTTTCTGCTCCCATAAAGATTTACAGCCTCAGAAACCCTGTACAGGGTCGCTATGAGTTGGAACCGACTCCACGGCACATAACAACAACATAGCGTTTCCAAGAGTGGCTGGTGAGTTTGACCGGCTGACTGACCTTACAGTCCAAACTGACTTTATGGTCCAGTCCATTATCCTAGTTGAGTTAAAACCTACTACAGCTTTTTGGCCTCATTCTTCCTAGAAGCAAGTAAACCACCCCTTATTCCGACCTGTGTGTTTAAGTTGAAACTGATGTGATTAAAATTTGAATCTCTGTGTAAACTCCCACAAGTGAACCTTTCCAAAGAAAAGCCATTACTCTCCTTGAGGTAGTGTTTTAGAGCTTAGGGTTTTGGTTAGGCATACTTACCTAATGCAGTTCGCTACATCCTATTAGACCTACGGTTTGTATTTCTAGTGACTTCTTTTTCGTGTTTTTTTTTTTCATGCATATCTTCCTCCTGTTTAGTTTGGAAAACATTCTCTAAACTCTAGGAAAATAGTGTGTTACAGTGTTATATACAAGGTCAAAACTGGCAGCCCACAGACCTGTTTTGTTTGGCTCCCATAATATTGGCTTATTAAAAAAGGAAAAGTCTGGCATCCTTGGACCTGTGTTTCTTCATGGAGTTTCTGAAAAGCTAGAGCTTTTGAATTCTATTTTGTCATCGTTATTCTACCCTTGATTTTCTTACAGGGGACTTTGTTGTTACTAGTTACCCTCAAGTTAGGTACTCTGGTAGCGTAGTGGTTACAAATCGGGCTGCGAACCTTAAGGTCAGCGGTTCGAAACTACCAGCCGTTCCGCGGGAGAAAGATGAGGCTTTCTACTCCCATAAGGATTTACACCCTCGGAAACCCTGTACAGGGTCGCTATGGGTCGGAACCGACTCGACGGCACTTAACAACAACAACAACAACAACCCTCAAGTTGACTGTGCCCTAGCCCTAGTGTGTTAGCTGCATCTGAGTCTGGAGCCTTATCGTATGCCCCTCTGGGCATCATGTGGAGAAGCTGCATCCTTGTTCACTGATAGAGGCATGTCATGTGTTTCAAGGTAGTTGTTTTTTTTTAATAACTGTAGAAGCAAATGACTTGGCATGTCCTGATGTTTCTTGTGAATATGACTAGTAGTTTGTGATTTGTTAGACTTGGAACAAAATTCACCAAAGTAGAACAAGGTTCCCAGGAAAAGTAAGATTGAAATTGGGTTTTAGATGGTCAGTAGCTTTTCTTAGGTGGGGAGGGAGCTAAAGCGTTTCAGTATATTTCTGGGAGAAGAAAAGGGATCTCTGTTGGCACAGTAGGCTACACATTGGGATGCTAACTCAGGGGTCAGCATTTCAAACCCATTCGCCACTCCATGGGAGAAAGACAACCATCTTAATAACCCCTCTGGAGCAGTTCTGCTCTGTCCTGTGAAGTTACTCTGAGTCCGAATCAGATGATGTCAATGGGCTTGGTGTTTGTTTGTTTGTTTGTTTGTTTGTGAGAATACAGCATGTTGGCTGTCATTCAGTTTCTTCTTGGGGAGGAGCTGACGGTGAGGCTGAAGTTATATTGTGAGGCCTTCGCAACCAAGCTAAGGAGTTGTGACCTTTTGGTTCATTTCCATTCAGTAATAAATATTGGTTGAGAATCTTTTATTTTCTAGATGTCATGCTAGTAGGTGTAGGGAGTACAGAGATGAGTTAGGCACAATGAGGGTATGCTGGTGGGAGAGACAGACCACTACAATTCATTTATACCATGTGAAAAATAAGAATGACATCACTATTAATATTGATTTGGTCCCTGCACAGGACTTTACTATAAATACAGAATGTACTCACTCACCTTCTAACAATAGGAGCAAGGACAGAAATTTAACATATGAGTATCAAGCCACAATATATAGTCCTCATTATTCACAGATTCCATAGTTCCAGATCTTCACCTACTCACATAGGGGGGTAAAACAAAATTAATGGTATTTTCATGTGAAAATTTCAGTGAAAGTTTACACAACAGATTAGACTCCCATGTAACAATTTCTATACAAATTGTTTGGCGATATTGGCTACACTTTTCACAGTGTGTCAATGTTCTCATTGTTTGCATTCTGGCTGTTCCACATACTCAATACAATTTATCTCTAACCCCAAAATGAATACTCACTGCGCTGTTGCACTCATTCATGCACATGTACAGAGGGGCGAAAATGTTGTGTCGCCTGATATGCACAATCCCAGCTGAAGTTGAACATGACGACGCTCTGCCTTCTTGATTTATCTCTCATACCGTATGGTGACACGTTTTGTGTATGTCTGTATTCTATTTAATCTCATGCGTTATACATTTTGTGCTTTTTGTTGGTGATTAGCTGTTCAAAGTGGCCCTTCCAGCATCATGCTGAAGTGCTGCCTAAGTGTTCCTAAGTGTGAAAGACTGTAATATGTCTTACAGAGAAAATGAGTGTTTGATAAGTTTGGAGTGCTGTTGGCCTTGAGTTCAATGTCAATGAATCAACAATATATACTAAGTACGGTATTTGCACAGGTGTACTCACACTGCAATAAGCTATCAAGTTATTACATCACTTAGGATCTGTGCATTTTTCTGTAACTAGTCATACTTCAGCTTAAAAGGTTTTAACTAGCAAAAAAAATGATTGGGAGAATATCCAGTGATATGTGAGGTTTTATTAGGACTCAAGTACAGAGTTATTTTTTCTTGTGATAATTTTGAAGAAATCCATACCTTGGATATTTGGTGAGAATGGGGGCTGTCTACTGGTCTGTCTCCTCAAATTGACTGAACTTTTGGTGGTAGAGCCAACGTCCCCCTCGCTGCCTGGCAGAGTGCACATTCCCAGAATGTTTCTGGGATTCATGAAACAATGTACTAATAAGGAAAATGTATCCCTTTCTCCAGGTTAAAAAAACAACGGAAGCCACCTTGCAGACGATTCAAGATATGGTCACCATCGAGGACTATGATGTTTCAGAATGCTTCCAGCATAGTCGCTCCACCGAGTCTGTGAAGTCTACTGTCTCTGAAACCTACCTGAGTAAGCCCAGCATCGCCAAGAGAAGAGCTAACCAGCAGGAAACCGAGCAGTTCTATTTCATGGTGCGCCCATCACTTCCCAAGCCACTGTTGACAGAGCCCAGATTTAGGGGTCTCAAATGATGCTTCTATAGTCGTGTCCGAATCACCTGGGCCTCTTTATTCAAATATGGACTCCTGTCCACCTACAGAGTTCATGACTCAATAGGCCTGGCATCATTTCTAGGGGTTAGGACTTCTTAATAGAAGTCCCTGGGTGGTACAACTGAAAACCCAGTCAACTGCTAAGTGAAAGACTAGTGGTTCAAGTCCACCCAGAGGCACTTTGGAAGAAAGGTGTCTTTGTGATCTACTTCTGAAAAATTAGCCATTGAAAAATCCACGGAATGTAGTTCTATTCTGATACCCATGGGCTACCATGAGTCAAAATCAATACCATAGCAACTGATTGATGTTTTCAAAGCTCCTTGGTTAACTCTAACATGCAGGCAGTCTTAGAGATCACTTCTCTCAAACAGTGCTTCTCAAACCTGAATGTGCAGACAGATCACCAGGAGAGCTTTCTAAAACATAGGTTGATTTTAATAGCTCTGAGGAGGAAGAGGCCTGGGAGTGTGTGCATCTGTCTCTACTAGGTTCCCTAGTGGTATGGATGCTCTGGTCTGTAAATGACACTGAGTCACCTCAAAACTGTACACTCCGAGTAGTAAGGTCTAGGGTCTGAAAGACATAAGTGGCTGAATTTGAGATATTCCATGAGAAGCCCTTGATACTGAATAATTAAAGCCATTGATACTGAATAGCTAAAAATTAACCTTTCCTTTTGCAGAAATTCAGAGAATATTTGGAAGGTAGTAATCTCATCACAAAACTTCAAGCCAAGCATGACTTGCTACAGAGGACCCTAGGAGAAGGTCAGTTATTTGGAATTGACAGAGTTTGGGTATATGTACACTTTAAGGAGCAGAGAACACTCTGTGTTTGGATTTGGTTTGATCTGTTCTACAATAATCCAGTTCTTCCTGGAACTCTTTTCTCTTTCAGTTTGGTGCTAACCTTGAGGTGGTGGTGGTGGTGGCAGTGTGGCAGTGATGGTTATCTGCTGTGGAGTTGGTTCCGACTCATAACGACTCTGTACAAGGTTTCTGAGGCTGTAAATCTTTACAGGAGCAGAACGCCTCATCTTTCTCCCGCCTCATCTTTTTCCCTCGGAAAAGCTGGTAGTTTTGAACTGCTGACCTTGAGGTTCAAAGCCCATTCATAACCACTATGCTACCAGAGGGCAAGTAGTGAAATATAGAGAGTGCTGAGAAGTCAGCCCAGAGCACTAAGGGAGGGAGGGGGTCTTTAGAGCATGATGCAACCAATGATAGAAAGGTCTGAAGGAGCCACACCTGCCTTCCATCAGCAGACCTCCCCCAGCCCTACCCTCAGCACTGCTTCCTTCCCTTCTTGGACTTCTCCATTCCTCCAGTCACATTCTTGTTTGTTTTAATGGGCCAGGTGTTTGTTGCTCCATCTGTTACCATTTTATTCTCTAGAAACTAGTTAAGCTGGTTTGGGTGTTTTGTTTTCTTTTTTTCTCTCCAAAAGATACAAGTTTTAGTTAAGAAATAATTGAAGAGTAAAGGAGCTCTGGTAGCATAGCGGTTATAAATCAGGCTGCTAACCTCAGGGTCAGCAATTCAAAACTACCAGCTGTTCCACGGAAGAAAGATGAGGCTTTCTGCTCCTGTGAAGATTTACAGCCGCGGAAACCCTGTACAGGGTCGCTATGAGTCAGAACCGACTCCATGGCACATAACAACAACAACAATAGGCAGATTATGGAGCTCTGCTGTGGTACTCTAGGATAAGCACTGGACTGCTAATTGCAAGGTTGGCCGTTCAAACTCACCAGCAGCTCTTTGGAAATCCTATTCAGGGTCTCTATGAATCAGAACTGACTCAATGGCACTTAACCCCATATAACTAATGATAATAATAAAATCAGCAACAGCTGACACTTAATACAGTGATATCTGTAGGAACTGGAACTCGATGGGCCTCCCTTATTTTTCTAAATCTCACAAGTTCTCTTCCTTTGACAGTGGGCAGACTTTTCACTTTTCTGTCACTCTTTGTTAGTGGAAAATGTTTATTATCCTTCTGACAGGTTTCTGCCTTACACAGGCTTTGGCTTTTGCACATTTTATTGCATAAGACTTTCTGTGTTCTAGACATTATTCTAAGCTCTATATTTTACTGGGCACTCTTAATTTCTCCGTTTTTACAGTTGAGTAAACTGAGGTTGGGGGAAGGATTACAGTCAAAGAAACTGAATATTATTATTTCTACTTTTGTCTTGAAACTCGAAAGGAAAAAATAAAGGCAAGCAAAACCCTTGTGTGAAAATGCCTCATAGTCTATAGCTTTACTTATCTTTTATTTACACTCATTCCTGCTATAAGTTATAAAAAGTGAAAGAGAATATGGAAGTAGAACATAAGAGAACTGAGTTATATGAGTAAATCAGGGCAAAAAGTGATAGCTACTCTTGATGCATTTGAGTTATGGTGTCAAAGGAGAATATTAAAAGTACCTTGAACTGCCAAAAGAACAAACCAATCTGTGTTGGAAGAAGTACAGCCAGAATGCTCCATGGAAGCCAGGATGGCTAGACTTTGTCACTTAGACTTCGGACATATTGTCAGGAAGGGTCAGTCACTGGAGAAAGGATATCATGTTTGGTAAAGTGGAGGGTCGGAGAAAAAGAGGAAGACCCTCAACAAGGATTGGCACAGTGGTGGCAGCAATGGGCTCAGGCTTAGCAGCAATGAATGAGGTTGGTGCAGGACCAGGCAGTGTTTCGTTCTGTTGTGCTTAGGGTCACAGTGCTCGATGGCACCTAGGAACAATAGACTTACCCCTAAATTCTTGCTTCTTACCATTACTCTTGGTTTTCTCTAAAGTACTCATTATCCTTAGAGAATGACCATACAGAGAAATGTCCTCATGAGCTAAGACTCTGTGTGTTACACAGTTAGGATGCCAGACTCTTTAAGATACAGATAGAAAAGGGGCGGAGGGGCAGGAAGCAATGTTTGAACTACTAAAACGTGTCTTTTTTTTAAAAAAAAATGATGTAGTAACCAAATGCAATGTGTGAACTTTCACTAGATTCCAGATCAAAAAGCAAAAACTGTGAAAGATATTTTTAGGACAGTTGGGAAATTTTAAAACTAGACTGTACTGAATTAATGTTAATTGTCCTAGATATGAAAATGGTATTACTTTTATGAAGGAGAATGTCCTTATTCTGAACAAATGCCTTTCAAATGACTCCAAAGAAAAGATAGATGGAAAAAGTGAAAATGGTTCCCTATACTATTCTCTGAACATTTCTGTAGCTTTGAACTCTAAGAAGAAAACAAAAGCCCTTTTATCTTGGAATTATTTTCTTCCTTTAGAAAGCACATTCTATTTTTGTCCTTCACGGTATCATGTAAAAGTATTTATTACACTTTCAAAAATTTCTGATAGTTCAGTCATGTTCCCAAGGTCAGTTGCCAGCCCAAAAAGGCATAAATTATCCTAAGTGTAAATGGATGCTTACAAGTGCGAAGCCAGATACCATTTTAGAAATTCCAAGTTTGAGAGAATGAAGTTGTGGATAATTTACTCTGGGCACCTTATGAAGATGCCCAGAGTAAATTATCTACTTTAAATCACATTCATGTCTCCTGAAGAGAAAACCCCAACTGTTAATATTATTTTCCATGTCATTTGTAGATAGGGCTATATGTTAACCCAAAGTAATGTTGCTAATTTGAACATGGCTTCAGGAAAGATCAGTCACTGAATGGGGCATGAGGTTTGGTGAAGTGGATTGCCAGTGGAAGGAAGGAGCGCCCAATGAGATGGATTAGCACAGTGGCCCCAAAATGGGCTCAAACATGCCAGCAATTTTGGGGACGGCACAGGGTGGGGCAGAGTTTCGTTCTGTTGTATGTTCTGTTGTTCGTTCTGTTCAACTCATGAACTTGTCATGAGTTGAAACCAACTCAACAGCAACTAACAACATGTTTTAGCCAAGTTGCTGAATCTAGACACCAGATTATGTCTTTACTGTTAATCTGTGTAAAGTTGTATCTCACCTTGTGAACTCTGAGCTACTTTATCTCGGAATTTCTTTCAGTATATTCCAGTGACACACGTTGTATTCAGATGTACAAAGCCTTCACTGCACTCAGTTTATTCTGCGTAAGAAAAAGGCTGTTTCTCATCAAGGTGTTCATCCAGTGGGTAGCAACTGCACTTACCTTTGCCCACTTGCTACAGAACTCCCTGCTCCCACATGCAGGTTTAGCTGCACAGCAATCGCTGTACCTTTCCTGAATTTGACACTGGTGCCTTTGGCCAGAGAAAAGCTGAGTGTGGAGAACTTGTCCCACCTCATAGCTAGACCCTTGTGAGCCTGCTGACATTCTACACCACCCTGTTCATGCCATTAGGTTTAACACCAAAGCAGAACAGGACCGTTAATGGTGCTTGTCTTGTGGTCAGGTGACCTAATGCTGAGCCCTTATGAAGAACTCCCAGTCTGGGTTTGACTCAACAAGGTTAGTAGTGCAGGATTAAATGGTGTGTCTAGGGACAGTCCTAAGTTTTTATATAGAAATGGCATCTCTGAATGGTACTAGGCTCACTGTTGGAAAAACTGCCTTCATAGGAAAACAGATAGAGCCTGGCCCAGAGGTTTAGCATTTGGCTCTTACACAGCTGAAACTGTAACTACAGACATGTGTTTGGCCTGTCTTCCTGCTAGGTTTTTTGGCAGGCTACCAGTGGTCCAGTAAGTCTTTTGCTTTATAGCATAGCAAAGCAACTAGATTGGTCTCTTAAAGTGGCACTGTCAAAATTCAGAATTCCAGATCTTTCTAAAGTATTTATTGAAACAGACCGAAATGCTTAAGGAGTTAACACCAAAATCATCATCACCATCTTCATTCTTCATTCAGCAGCACCATTATATGCTTTTGTGATGATACTTATTTTTAAAACAGGGAAGTTTAATTGTACAGAGTAAATGAGTTATATATCTATAAAAACCAGGCACTAAAATATTTTCTGTTTCCTCTTATAGTAATGAGCTTTAATGTTCACATTGGCTTCTTTGTATGGAACGTTTGGAGTTTAGGGGTGTAAATATTAGTGCAATTTTGTCAAACCCAGAAATTCTGGCACTGAAAGCTTAGCTCCATGATATATTATTCTTAGCTCTTGGCATAAGATTCCTGACAAAGGAATTCAATAGATTATCCTCGTACAATCTATTGTCTGTCTTTGAGTAGGAGTACAAATATACTTTCAAAGGAGAAGCAGATTGTGAATAATGATGTTTTTGAGAAAAGCACTGCAGTAAATGGCAGTCTTAAAGGAAGAAAGGGTCTGGAAAGTCACACCAGGGGTCCTCCTCCGTCATTCATTAGGGCAACAAAACCAGTGTGTCTGTCCAGTTGGAGCTATGCAGATTTTAAATACTCAAATGGCCACCAAGCCATACGTGGGCTTTTCCTTTTAAAATAAGGAGTTAAAATGCATTTACATGTATAAAATAATTAATGATTCCCCATTGAAATGACAAAAAAGTAACCTGAAGTATAGGTATTTGTACCAAGAGCAAGTTAATCCTTTTGTCAATTTCCACCCCCTGCTCAGATTACTTGCATGTAGCTATGGAGGGAAGGCGTTGTCTGTTGTTTTTAATAATTAAGTAGCCTGCCAAAGAAAATGATTGAAATCTCATACTCAAACCACTGGAAGCTTTCACGTTTCTTTGGGAGGCAGATTCTTCTAAGCCTGTGTATTATTGATCTATTAATGATGATACTGCTGAAAAAATAAAACCTCATTCATCAGTAGAGACACACTCAGGACTATGAAGTAAAAACAACGATGGATGTAGTGGTACAGTTAGGCTGTGAATGATGGTTCTTGCAAAGCCTGTTCTTGGTTCATTATTCAATATGTATCTTTTATAGGTTTTTTAATTTTTTATGTAATACTATTAACCAAATGGATGGATGGAGCAATATGATTTTTTTTTTTTCTCTCTCTAAATCTAGGGGGTATTTGGATAGGGATATTTGAACAGAACAGCAAAATTTCCAAGTTAAAAAATGTTTCATTTCTAAGAAACTACCATTAATTGCGTTGGAATCATTTGAAAGTGATTAAATAATCTTTGTTATGTAGTTTAAATTTGTTGAGATTTATTAAAATCCACTTTAGTACTTTTGTATTCAGCATTAGTCATATGTGGAAACAGAATATAAGCCATGATATCATCTCCACTTTCTAGGATCTTTAACGTTTTTGTTAAGTCAAAAAAAAAAAAATTCTGAATATCATATTGAATTTGGGAGTTTGGGAATGGAATTAAATCAAACATGAACCCCAGTGCTAGACTCACCATATACTGGTAGTGTGACCTTAGGCCAATCACTTCACTTCAGTGTGCTTACCCTCCTCTTCTGTAACCGGAATTACAGTAGACTATACCTCATTAAATTATGAAAATCAGTGCATGTATATATATATAGAGAGAGAGAGAGAGCGAGTGAGTCCTGGTGTAGCGCTGTGGTTAATGCAAAGCTGGTTTGAACTGCAAAATTGGTGGTTCAAGCTCACCAGCCACTCCTTGGAAACCCTACGCAGGGTGACCAAGTCAACAGCACTTAACAACAGCATGTATGTGTGTGTGTGTGTGTGTGTGTGTATATATATATATATATATATATGCTGTTTTTAGGTGCCTTCAAGTCGGTTCCAACTCATAGCTACCCTATGCACAGCAGAAAGAAACTACCTTGTCCTGCTCCAACCTCACAATCGTTGCTAAGCTTGAGCCGATTGCTGCCACTGTGCCAGTCCATCTTCCTCTTTATCACTGGCCCTCCACTTTACCAAGCATGATGTCCTCCTCCAGGGACTGGTCCCTTCTGACAGTATGTCTGAAGTATGAGAGATGGAATCTGGCCATCCTGGTTCTAAGGAGCATTCTGGCTGTTCTTCTTCCAACACAGATTGTTTTGTTCTTTTGGCAGTCCATGGGACTTTGAATATTCTCCTCCAACATCATAATTCAAACACATCAATTATTCTGTTTCTTTATTCATATATATATATATATAATATATATATATATATATATATATATATATGTTGTTATTTGTTGCTAAGTGACATCGAGTCCATTCCAACTCATAGCAACCCTGTATAGGATTTCCGAGAATTGCCTGGTGAGTTTGAACCATCTACCTTGAGGTTCAAATGAGCTTGCAGTTCAGTGCTTATTATACAGTGCCATACCAGGACTCCATCTATCTATCTATCTATCTATCTATCTATCTATCTATCTATTTATCTATCTATCTATCTAATATACATAAAATGCTTTAAAAAGTATCAAACAAATGTTAAACTTCGTGGCTAATTTTCTTGGCTTCAACACAATCTAAATGGTTTTGTCTACCAAATCTTTCTCTTCAGCCCTGTATTTTCTGTGCTTTAACCTTGAATAGCCATTTTTCTGTTAACATGTCCACTAGATATCCCATAAGGCACTGCAAGCCATATTTTTCTCATTGTCTGCCTTTTCTTTTCCGGTAACGTTAAATCTTCCTTCCCACTTCTGAATAACTATAAATTATTTTGGAGTTCCTTGTCCATCATCTTCCTTTCTATCTTCTTCCCCAAAACAGCCAGGCCAGAAAAAAGATGGAATTTATAGTTAAATGATAGGTAACTTACATTGGGGACAAGGCAGGCAGGAATTGCATCTTCTCCTTTCCCCAACACCCACTCCAAGTCATGGTCCAGTATCCTCCGAATACTAACAGTGGCCTGGCCTGGGTCTGTGATGAGAAAGGTGTTCTCTGGAATTAACTGTTGCTCCCTGTTTAGTAAACAGATATTTACTAAACAGGGAACAACAGATCATTTTATGTGAATGTTTATTCAGCATTCATAGCAAGCCAGCTTCCTCTACTGTTACAATTGCCTTCCCCTACAAGTCTGAATCAACATGGTGGGCTGGACACACCTGTTTGTACTGCAACATGACCCTCCTCTGCCAGCTACATTTTCAAGCTGTTTCAGAACTGTACCATCATTTTGCAGTCAAACAAACCAATTGAATGCTTCAGCTTTCTCACACCCCTTCCTACAGCTCCACCCTAAATGTAAGAAAGAACAGGTGGCAACCACTGAGACATTTGACTTTGAAATTAACTCAGGTTATGAGAGCGCTACAAAAAAATCCAGGCCTATTATTTAAGATCAAGGAGGCCTGGTAACATAGTGGATTATGAGCTTGCCTGCTAACTGCAAGGTCAGTAGTTGGAATCTACCAGAAAGATGAAGCTTTCTGTTCCCTTAAAGATTTACAGTCTCAGAAACCCTGTGCAAGGTCACTATGACCCTGAACCTACTCAATGGCACATAACCACCGCCACCACCATTATTTAAAAATCAGTCAAGAAGCCCAAATGTATAAGAAGCACCTCATTGTTTTAAATGATGGAGAACTCTATGAAAAGTTTTTAGCTCACAGTTGGTGGGATGTAACCTAGTTTAATTCCTTATTCTTTAATATCAACAAATGTCATTTCTGATTATAGACTGTATTTCTGAATATAGAATGTAGTCTCTCTTCCAGGCCCTTGATTTCTTATTACAGAAAGAGTATCCATTTAATCTAAAGGAAATTGAGTTCTCCCAACTCTATTTGACCCCCTACTTGTACCCCCAAGCATCAGTCAAGACAGGGAAGAACTAACAGTAGTAGGAGTTTGGATGCGTTTTATTTGTATTTAATCTTTGAACTAACAGCTAAGATCAAGCATCTGTTTTTTAATTACAACATAACACACACGCACACACACGCACACACAAACTCCTTGCCTCAGATTGCCAGGTGATAAGCTCTATAGAATTTATTAAATTTTACCTACAAAATTTATAAAATATTTCCTCGGAATTCTTTATCTTTTTATGCTAACTTCAGCTTTCCACTTAAAATGTGTAAGTTATACACTCTGCATCTTAAAAATAAGGGACAGATGAGGCAAAAGATTGTGAAATGCATTCCACTGATTCCATAAACTTACTTAATTTACTTTTGTATCTACAGGTCACAAAGCTGAATATATGACTACAAGGTAGGAAAATATTTTGTAGTAACTTAATCGTATCTCACTTTATTTTTCCTTTGGAAAGAACCACCATTTAAATGCTGCAAGACTGACCGTATATTGTTAGTGTACATGTAAGATAGTTTTGAGTTGACAGTGCATAGCAACATGAAATACGCAGGGCTCTCATGAAACCCCAAATGGAATTGTAAAGCTCTTTAATAAGCAGATTCAGCGGTAAGTACCTAAAAGTTAAAAAAAAAAAAAAAAAAGGACCTAAAAGTAAGGTCTTAGTTCATTTTGCCAAAACACTTTGTTTCTAGAAGTAGTCTGGTAAAACTTGTGATTTGATCATTGTTGTTGTTAAGTGCCATCGAGTTGGTTCTGACTCATAGCAACCCTGTATAGGGTTTCCAAGGAGTGACTGGTGAGTTTGAACCACCTACCTTGCAGTTCAAACCAACCTTGAGATCGAGTGCTTATCCTATGGCACCCCACCAGACTCCAATTTGATAGTTAACAAGCAATAATTAGCCAGTGGAAAGTATGGTTAGTTACTTACTGCTTCTACATTCTCTGTGTCATATAAAAATTTGTTGTTGTTAAGTGCCGTCGAGTCGCTTCTGACTCTTAGCGACTCCTGTATAGGGTTACTAAGGAGCAGCTGGTAAATTTGAACTGCCAACCAGGACTCCATATTAAAATTGTTATTTTTATGTGCTGTCAAGTCAGTTCTGACTCATAGTAACCCTATATAGGGTTTCCAAGAGCAGCTGGTGAGTTTGAACCACCGACTTTGCTGTTCAAATCAACCTTGTGGTCCAGGACTCTTCCTGGCTTGAGGGTCCATATTTGCTTCTAGACACTTGCCAAGGTTCCCTTTAACCTTTCAATCTCTGTGGGGGCTTAAGGTGGTCCTCACTGTATACCTTGTTAGTAGTATGCACTCACGTACTGGGAGGGTCTTAGAAACTGGCTATGGGAGGCTGTTTCAGCACATTTTTCTACTTCCTCTCTTGGTTTTTGTGGTACTGCTTTATGAAGCTAGTATGGTTTCCATATAAATTCATGAGATTTTGTTTCTAAACTGGCCTTCCTAAAATTCAGTGAACCAAAAAGGTAATTCTTCCTAGAGAGATTACAGCTCAGTGAGGGTCTGTACCTAATTTCCAAATGTGATATCCATCCTTGTGTAAGCCCTGCAGTTTAGAAGCCATTTAAACTGGAGAGTTCAGAACATGTAATCCACTCCACACAGTTGAAGAAGTTGAGCCAGTTAACCCTGGCCATCATTCTTCTAATGGAAGTAGGCAAAAGTGGCTCCAGTGGCCCTCTTTCTCCATTTATAGTACAAGATCATGCTGGCTTTTAAATAAGGTGCACAGTTCGCTGGATGTACTTACATTACAAAAACTGACTTGAATCCACCAGAGCACACAGATGAACTGGAGAGGATCCAGAGCCAAATAAACATGTGGATCTTAATACTCCACACGTATTTAGGCACTGGGACACTTTGTGTGAAAGAAATAATTTATATAAGCCTGTATCCCCCCTCAAAAATGGCACTGAAACTATATATATATATGTGTGTTTTTTTTAAACTTGTGACCCACTCATAGTTGTTTTGCATAAAATACAATCTCATTAATACTTGAGGAGTATTGAACAGATGTGATATCATTTAAACTGAAGAATTCTGTTCAAATGAAAAGTGTTATACTTAAATCCTTATAGTGAGTCCTTTCAGAGCCTGTTTTAAGAGCCATGGAGTCTTACTGTATGACTAATAAACCAAATAATGTTGACCTTGCTTTGTAGCATTTGGCTAAAAAACTCGTAATTCCATTTGGTAGTGCTTATGATTTTTAAGCAAACTAGCAAAAGAGCAAATGCCAACTATGACATATAGGAAAACAGTAGTCTGAATGAATGGCTTCTATGTTTTCTGATGCATAAATAAAAGTAAATAAATGGGAAAGAGAAGGGACTGTTTCCACTAAAGGGTGGGGGTGGGGGGGTGGGGAGGACTCCTAGAGTTTCCAACTTTTGTAATTTTGATGTTACCTAAGGGTGTTTCATTTATTGTTTGATTTCTGTCATGCTCAGTAATGATATTCCCTTCCCTTAGGCCTCCAAATGTTCCCCCTAAGCCCCAGAAACACAGGAAGCCCAGGCCCCGCTCACAGTATAATGCTAAGTTGTTTAATGGGGATTTGGAAACATTCATCAAGGTACTGGCACCAGCCATCTGGGTGGCTGATCTCCACGCTTCTTACAATAATGGTCTCAGCCTCTCATCAAAGGAGGCAGATCATTATGTCCAAGTCTGTCCTGGGGCTCTTTGCTTTCCCAGAAAATCAATATAATATTTCCTAAAGTCAAAAGGAAAAATTGGGGTTCCGTATTTTCAGAAGAGGGAATATATAAGTGGGTAATATTATCCTCGGAAGAGGAGGCCCCTCATTCTTCGTTTAAAACAAGAAAGAAAGAAAAAGGAGGCATTTGTACAAAAAGTAAAAGAGCAACCTGAGGAAATATTGTTTGTATGGGTGCAAAAGAGCACAAAAAACGTTTATTTTCCAAAGTGCACTTGTTACAGTTGTTCTGAAACTTGGCAAGAGTTCTGATTTCCCATGACTTAAGGAATTCATTATATTGGATACATTGTAAGACCCTGTAGTCTATAGCTTGTATCTCTGCTGTGTTTATCTGTCTTCTTTTTCATCCTGTATTTCTGATAATGCTTCTAGCCGTGGACGGAGAAACTCGCACACGAGACACCAGGTATAGTGCTGCGGGGAAGGGAGCGCACGTGACTTTCATTCTCGGTCTCATTTTCCATTCATGATAACCATGCTCGGCTTTAATTAAAATTTGTAAGGTTTTTAAAAGAAAAGTGTTTGCAGTTGGAAATTAAATTACACAGGTTTATTAGACAGTTTTACTTAGAAAGGAACTATAGAAATCAAACACTGAGTTAAGGTGACTAATCTTCTGTCATAAAAACAAGCAGATCAGACTCATAGGTTTTATTTTGTATGTTGTGCAAATGTAGCAGATTTGAGTGAGGGTTTGTATTAAGGAAAGTCCATGTTAAATTCTGCATGTGCACTTATTACTGGATTATGGTTCCTAGCTTAAACGCACTTATTACTGGATTATGGTTCCTAGTTTAAACGATACAGAAGGAGAGGGGCTTTCATTCTCTTTTGTAACTCACAAGTTTTATGGCATGGGCTGCAGCTATCATCAGTAACCACCTTCATGATATGTTACAGTTATTTTACTGTCTTTAAAATATAGCTGTTTATTGAATGTGTCCACCTACGGTTACAAATGAAGTGAATGCATATGTGTGCGTGTGCTTGTGCGTGCGCACACAGACAGACACACATATGTATAGAAAGATGGATTTTAAACTCTAGCAGCTTAAATATTAGTCTTAACCCTGGCATTAAGTGAAGGGGAGAAAAACACTGAACAGCCTAAATAGGAATTGCGGATCCACTGCCTTAAGCCTTAAACCCAGAAAAGCTTTATTGGCTCTAATTTAATAGAAAATTGTTGTCAAATTTGATTAGCTCGTTTCCCAGTCCACAGCATATAAGCAAGGAAAAGTCAAATTAGATAGAAGAACGATAAAATGAAAGCAGTGAGATGTGCAGCTGATGACCTGGCAGGGAAAGAGACTGTAGAAACCCCAAAGAAGCAAATGGATGATTCCATTGCATATAATAATGCAGACTGAGAATGACCATTTAGGACGATGATGTTATTAAGTGCCATCGAGTTGGTTCCAACTTATAGCCACCCTGTATAGTGTTTCTGAGGGGCATAGGAAAGCACATATTATATATATTTGTTTTTCATTAAGAACAGTTATGGAAAATTCACTCATGTGAGTTCTTCACCATCGCAAGATATACCATATTAATGAATAATCGGTAATGACAGTGAATGGATACAGGTCTCTACACTTATGAAAAGTGCTTAATTCATTATGGTATCCACAATAACACTATGAGACAGCAGGAATGCAATCATTTTTCCTCTTTTTCCCCTCGAGAAACCGAGACATAAAGAGATTTGTGTGAATGATAGGTAGAAGATAGCCCATTATTTCGTCTTTTATAAAATATTTCTACCAAAGCATCTGACATCCATGAAATTAAAGCACACACATGCACACTCAACACATACTCGTGACACTTTTTTGACCACAAAATTCGAAATACTGATTAATAATGAAAAGATTAGCAGTTACCTATAAAGTAAGGACAAAAATATTATGTCAACAACATGAAAATGTAAGACATATTTATGTAGAACTTTTATGCAAACATTTTCCTCTTAAAAACCTTCTATTCTTTGTTTTTGTTTTAATACTTGGTTCTGCAGAGGTGCAACCTAATACACTCCTTTTCTCACTTAAATGTAAATATCTGTTGTTCTTTTAGAGTACAATTATTACTGTACATATAAAAGTTACTCTCCTAAAGCATACCTGAAGCTTAAAGAAAAATCTAACATATGCACGTTTTTGTTGTAGTTACATGGCTGTTCATGAGCCAACAAGTCTACACTGAAAAGTGCTTTTATTCTTAAGGTCTTTGTGTTTTGTTTTGTTTTTTAAGAAATGAATAAAATGTACATCCCTAAAGCACATTAACTAATTAGGTAAACTTAATATGGGCTCCAGAAGTAATTGAACCATTAGCTGGTTTATACACTGATTAGATTGTCTTAAAGCGTAAATTAAAACTCTTCCTTAGAAAGGTATTATTCATTCTAGGAAGTGCAAAGAGTTTAAATCGCTGAACCACATTTTTCCCCATCCTTTCCCTATTGCTAAATTGGAAAGGTTACTAGACACGGAACTGTTTTAATGTATAAAGAATATAAAAACAACCAAGGGTTTTTTTTGTGTGTTCCAGAATAAAAGTCCTCATTAGTTAGTGCCTGATGTCAGCTAATCATTTTTCACCTGTGAGGTTTCTTATAAAGATCTAATTCCTGAAAAATGAGAAATTTTAACAGTCATGAAAAATAACTTTGTAGACAGTAACCTTCTGTAACTACCTGGCGTGCATGGCAGTTAACATTGTTCACTGAGTACTCAGCAACATCTTCCATCTCATTTGTCATCTGACACACATTTTAAAGCATTTTTAGAATTTGCATTTGTTCAGTAACACGCGGTGACAAGATGTGCAGAAAACAGGCCACAAAATTGTCCCTTCCTAAGAAAACAAGACCTAATGGGATATGCATTTGTAGATTTTTTTTGTTTTCTCTTAAAACATGAAAAACATGTAAGTAAGTTCTGGTGCAAACTAAATAAATACCTGACGTGGTAACTATTGTCAGCTACAAGACATGCTCTCAGGAAAGTCAGAGAGAGGATCCCTGAGGTGGCGGAGAGGTTGTCTTGGGTGACTAGAATAATCAGTCTGAATATGGTATGGTTATTTTCAGGGCCATGAAAGATTGATTACTTGAAAAAAATAACCTTAAGAAGAAATGAGAAATTCATTTATTTATTTTATTGTTGTTGTTGTTAAGTGTCATCAAGTTGGTTCAGACCCATAGCAACCCTGTACAGGGTTTCCGAGGCTGTAAATCTTTACAGGAGCAGAAAGTCTCATCTTTCTCCCGCGGAGCAGCTGGTAGTTTCGAACTGCTCACCTTAAGGTTCATAGCCCGATTTGTAACCACTATGCTACCAGAGCTCCTTATTTATTAAATAAGCCTAAATACAAGTTTGTTTGTTTTTTTTTAAAAAAAAGAGGAATTTGCTTTTGACCTCTTTAGACATCATAGACTTAGTTGAAACTGATTGGCTTAAAGTATTTAATTTGGCTTGCTCCAGAGCTGAAATATGCTTAGATTAAATAGAAGTTTTCACCTTTTTTTTTTTTTTTTTAAATGGCCTTGGGAAATATTTTAGAGGCATAGAGTTGCAGATGATCGTTGACGGGGATGACAGTCGCTCTGGAATAGCTGTTTAGCTGTGAGATTTTTTTATACTTTCTGGTTTATGTCTCTCCTTTGAGGTTCATGGGTTTCCCCTCTCTTTACCCAGGACTCAGGACAAGTTATCCCCCCCATTGTGGAAAGTTGTATCCGGTTCATCAATCTCTATGGTAAGCCATAAACTACAGGATGTTTTTAAAAAATAATCACTAGGAGTATTAAAGTAAGTGTGTCTTTGTATTTAATAACTTATTCTTGGGGTAACCTTGAAGTTGTGTTGGGATGTTTTATCTTTTGTCCCTTCTGTTCTCTTCAGGTCTTCAACATCAGGGGATTTTCAGAGTGTCTGGTTCCCAGGTGGAAGTCAATGATATTAAAAATTCCTTTGAGAGAGGTAATTATATCCTGGTGTAGCACTGTAGGATAAGCACTGGACCACAAGTCCAGTTTGAACTGCAAGGATGGTGGTTCAAACTCACCAGCCACTTTTTGGAAACCCTATACAGGGTCGCTATAAGTCAGACCCGACTGGATGGCACTTAACAACAATAACAACAACAAATACCTATAAGCAAACCTTATTACAAAGTCAAAATTTCCCTTAGATTGATGTGACTTACTCTTTCTTTGTATCATCAAAAACTGTGTTTTATACCTGTACTTTATGTTGGATGGTGCAATAAGAATAGAAAAACTGAAAAATGAAAATAAAACCATAACCAGTTGCCATTTAATCAACTCCATCTTAGCAAATCCAGGCCTACCATGGTATCACTATACTTCATAAGGTTTTTTAAATGACTGGCTTTTCCAAAGGAGACTGCCATGCCTTTACTCTGAGGCACTTCTGGGTGATTTGAACCTTCCTTTGATTAACTGCTGAGCACATTAATCATTTGCAACACTTAAGGGTAGAAGAGCATCTAAACTTTGCACCCTGGTGTAGGACCAGCTTTGACAATCCACAGCACAGGCTCAGTGTGCTACGTGAAAGAGTTTTTAGTGGCCAGAGTAGGGCCTAGATAGCAGATATGTGAGTGGCAGCTCATCCCAGTTTCCCATAGACTACCTTTTTTGGGCGTTCTTTCTTTCTTGTCATTGCCATCCCCAAACTTCTTCCCTGTGGTCCTGGTTGGTGCTTCAGTCTTGTTCATGATCACTCTAATCTGCTATTTAACAAGTCATGATTAGCAAAAATCCTAGGCTTCCAGGTCAGACAAACCTAGAATTCAATCAGACTCTTCCATTTACTAATTGTGTTATTTGGGTCAGGTTACTGAATTCTTACTTTGGTCTTGATTTCCTCATCTACAGTATTGCGGGATTGTTGTGAGGATTAGCTATAATAAGCAAAACCGCCTAGCTATTTAATTTTGGCTATTATGCACTAGACTGCAAAGTCAGTGTGAACTGCAAGCTCAGTGGTTCAGGCTGACCAACTGCTCCTTGGAAACCCTATGCAGGACCAGTAAGAGTCAGAACTGCCTCGACTCACTTGCAACAATGACAATTACTAACACTCTGCAGTTATACTGATTTGTATTGTATCTACTTCCACATACATTGGTACCTTCCTTCCTCTGCTTTGAAGGTCAAGCTGAGAAGGCAGATGGGGGAACAGTCATGGACAGATAGGGTCATCCTCTCTCTCCATCCCATTTCCCCTGCTTCAGATGTGGCACAGAATCCTTCGAAACTGGAGCATTAGTTAGAGAGGTAAACTTAGGGCCAGTAGTTTTCTCTGTTTCAAATTCTTTGACTTGTACAGTGTCCAGAGATCACATGAGTCCTGCAGCAAAGTGCAGCAAGCCCCATACACTGGCCATATTCAGGATGAGTTGAAAGTAAAGCACCAGATTCCCACTGCCACCCACCAGAGGCAAAATGTTTCATTCTTTTCTTTGGAAAGTACCCTGGCATTTGTTATTTGATTATGACCTGTTTTGGTTGAGGCTTTATCACAGTGAGCAAAAGAATATTCTGGCAAATTCATGTTCAGGAATTCCCCTGCAAACAGGGAAGAGGGAATTAGAAGGTCCCTGAAAATAAACTGATAGCCCAATAAGTAAGAATTATGTTCAAACTAAAATGTACAATTGTGGTGAACTTGAAGAAGGAAAAGCAGACCTATGAATAAAAAATGGGGCTTGATTTAAGGCTGCATATTATATTGAACTTTCTCAAGATTTTACCTCAATCGCATTTTCAGGGCTATGGATAGTGAGCTGTGTCACATAGTATTTTACTGCTTACCATTTTTTAAAAAGTAATTTTATATTTGTGATATGTACATATTTAATATAAATTCCTTTTACCTTGAGGATATGCTTTCAAAGTCCTCTATCTGGTTTCAAAATCTCCCCTCTGTTCAAGACAACTTTCCGATGTTCTAAGGACCCACTGGGCCACTTTTGGAAACAGCTGTTTGTTTTAATTACAGCAGGTGTTTACAATGAGGTGAAGTCTTTCATATTTCTGATCCATTTTGCTGAACCATACAGCATAGACAGCCAGGCCTATCTTGTATCTTTTACCCACACGGATTAGAAACACTGAGAATGTAGGATTTGAACCCATGCCAAAGTAAGATTACAAATAAAGCTGGGTAACATTTTAAACCCCACAATATTTTATTTTAAGATTTGGATAACTTGTAAGGGATTATTTGAAATCATAGTATAAAAGAAGCTGTATTTTAGCCAGCTATTTTTAGGTTAATCATGGTGTGGGATATCTAAAACCAATTATTTTAATTTTAGTACCATATAATCTTTCATAAAGGGTAATTAGAAGATGCCTGTATATATAGCAGTGTGTACATAGAAACATATTTTTCCTTCAGAGAAAGAAAAGAACCTCTGTGTATGCAACTAATTTTTTTATTTTTTATTTTTTTGTAGGTGAAAACCCTTTGTCTGATGACCAGAGTAACCATGATATTAATTCAGTTGCTGGTGTTCTGAAGCTCTATTTCCGTGGGCTGGAAAACCCCCTCTTTCCTAAGGAAAGATTTAATGATCTGATTTCTTGTATCAGTAAGTGGCATTCTTTTTCTTTTTCTTTTTAGCTTTTCTGACCAGAATTGTTTCACTAACCAACTTCCTGGAAAAGGCAGTGGCCCCTCTGTATGTTCCTCCCCCCGAGTACCAGCAGGTTTCTGAGACCATTTGTTTCATTTCTGGATTGAGCATGAGTCATCCCTGCAGCTGTGACCTCACCCTCAGCTGAGTTGGACTTGCTCCTGAACATCCCCAACCCTGGTGGAGACCAAGAGCTTCCTACTGGGTGGCAGAAAAATGCAGAAAGGCAGGTTTCAACCAACTAAGGGTCAACGGGGAGTTGTAAGCATGGGAATGTAACTTTTCTTCTTCTTTTTTGGCCATGTGGTTCTTGGTTTTTCTCAATCAATTTTAGGAGTAGGGTCATTTATTCATCTTTGATTGTTAATTTTAAAAAGAAGGTAAAATGAGATGAATGATGATGATGATGGTACATCAGGTGGCCAGCATCCTGAGCTAATAGGCAGAGTTGCTCTGGGACTATGTGTGATGGATTACGAGACCAATAATTATCAGCAGAGTGAAACGATTGCTGTTTTCTTCAGTGGGGCCTTTTGACATGACCACGAGGGAAGAAGGTAAAACTAATGATACCAGGAGCCAGATATTTACCACAGTTGGGTACCACCCATCTAAACATGCGCTGTTCTTGTAGAACTCCAGGTCCCGAGGCCAGGGAACCTGACTGACATCATAGACTGAGGACTTTCTTAAGAATCGAGCTTTGCTGGAGTGGGAACCCTCCTCCCCAGATCTACTTTCTTCCCTTTCCCATTCCTGAGTCACCAACTTTTATTAACCTCAGAAAAATCTCTCTATTCCGTCCCTCCTTCCCCATCCCCATTACTACAACTATTGTTATTTTTGTTGTGGTTAGCTGCCATTGCATCAGCTCCTGACTCATGCTGACCCCATGCACAATGGAATGAAACACTGCTCAGTCCTGTACCTTCCCAATGATCAATCAAGGATCGGTGTGTTGTGATGCATGGGGTTTTTCATCAGCTTATATTTAGAAGCAAGTAAGGTACAGAGTGTAGACTCTTAACTGCCTGGCTTCAAATTCTGGCTCCACTGTGTGAACTTAGATGAGTTTCTTAACCTCTTTAATTTATGACTTTAATTATATCATCTGTCAAATAAGGAAACCATTCCTCTCTACATCATGGGTTATTATGAAATTTACATGAGTCAGTACACGTAAAATGCCAAGAAGATGTCTGACCCTGGATTATAACCAGTTAGCTTCCCTCATCAACCCCTTAACTGCGAATCTCGTCACTGTGTGAGTTCTGTGTGGTCACTGTCATGAATTATTGAACCCATGTCAATGAGATGCTACATTTAGCATCTTAGAGTTAACTCCAAAGAACAGTGAGCTCTTAATGGGAGTATCTGTTTTTGTAATCCCAACACCTGGTATAATTAATTCCAGGCACAAAATAAGCGCTCAGTGTATCTGTTAAATAACATTTAAATGAAATAAAGGGAAGAGTCAAAAGTCCACCAAAAGTTATTTTGTTGGCATTTGTGCCTAAAATCCTAAGCCTCCCCCGCCGTACAGTCAGATGTCCTGTGTGGGATTCAGCAGTGTGCTTGCCTGTCCATTCGAAGGCCTTCACATAGCCTGAGTCATCATAGCCAGCCTCTGACCCAGCTGGAAAGAACTGAAAGGAAGAGACACAGTCCTGGAGTTCTCCTCTGGCTATGTCCAAAGATTTCCCTCACATCCTAACCACAGAACTTAAGTCTGGAGAAATAGTCAGTATTCTACAATGCTTAGTGGTTTTCTCAATACATACATCATATCAACTGTAATGTGGATGGAAAAATAAAACCAACGGGACCAACCATCCCTTCCAGAAGAAGGCACACTCTGCTTCTCAACTGGGTTCAATAATTCATGACAGTGACCACACAGAACTCACACAGTGACGAGACTCGCAGTTAAGGAGTTGATGAGTGAAGCTAACTGGTTATAATCCAGGCTCAGAGATGTTCAGGGCACAGTTCTTCCAGTCAGGACAGCCCTTCCTCTGCTGTGCCCACAAGCAGGCCTCTCACTGGCTCTTGGCCTGGCCTCTGCTGTGCCCTGGCAATGTTACAGAGCTCTCTTAGACTGCTGGTAAATGCCCACAGGACATACCATTCCACCGTAATCCTTAGCTTGAAGGCACTAGCTCGAGCTCCCCCAATTAAGTGCTGTGGAGATACCCTTCTCTGCAGGCAAGCTTCCTGCCCAGTGTCACTCCGCTTTACTTGCTCCTTGGACTGGCAGGCCTACTGCTGTCATGTCCTCTGACTCTTCGTTCTGTTGCACCTGCCCCACCATCACACCTCTGGTGTCAAAGCTTCCTGTCCCTAGGTGGAGGAGGTTCAATGTACAGGAATCTGTGGCTCCCGAAGGATGTACTTCATTCCTGAATCCTCTTCTTTGAGGATACCAAGACCCACCCATCACCCCCCCTGCTTCTGAGATGGCTCATTTTAAACACACATTAGAGTTCAAATTTTCACAATCACAATGAACAGTGACAACTGAGTCATACCAGCCTATCAGCATCTTCTCCCACCTACTCTTTCCCAGACCCAGCAGGCCAAAAAATGTCATTTAGTGGGAGATACAAAGACTATGAAGAATCACATTAAGTAATTCATTATACTGCAACTGACACACACCAATTCAAAAAAGGACCCTAGGTTTACATTGTCAGTTACCAATATACAGCTATTGCTCACTTTCATTTATTACTTTATAGCTGTTAAAAGCCAAAGCCATGGAGTGTGAAATATCTAGCTTCAAATCCTAGCTTCACCATTACTAGTTTTGTAACTTCAGTGTCTTCATTTGCCATGTTAAGTGTTTAGCATAATGTCTGGCTCATCATAAGTCTTGAAATGTTGCTATCTTCTGTTACTACTACAGCTATTCCTGCTGCAAACTCAGGCTCGCATAAGCCATTGCCTGGGTTAGCCATTTACTTATCTATTGGTCCTTCTTTGATGTAATTACCCCGCATGTATTAGAAATGATGTTAGAGTAGCGCAAAAGTTATATTGGTTCCAGCCAGATTTCCCCCAGTGCTATAAATGTTTGGAAACAAAGTCAAGCTTTTTCCCAATTAAAGAATCTCCCTTAACAAAACATAAACAACCACAGGAAAACAGCTGAAAAATCTACAGAACTTTCTTGCATACAAGCAGTCTCTGGGATGCTTCACATACAAATAAAGAAGCTGAAAAGATACTCCTCCTTGTATTAAAACAATAGTTTAATAATCTTGGCTTCACCCTGGATCAATTTTTCAATTTGATGAAAGTGGTTTCTGTTAGAAATGAAAGCCCTCCAGGACCTCCAGCTCACCGGAAGAAGCTGGGACCCTGGAGGCTTAACCAGCAGAGGAGCCTGTGAAGCTGAGTGCAAATGTCAGTAGAACGTTAACAGTGCTCATCATTTTAATAAGATTGTTAATGGTTTTGTTAGTTCTCCAGCCGTTTTTTTTCTCGTAAGTGCCCAGTTTTCCAAGATGAGAGGTCTTTCAAGAATAGATAGTGGCACCGTATATTTTTTAAGAGCTATTTTTCTTCCATCGTCTAACCCCTTTAAAAAATGACATTCCTAGTGATTATTTTATATGATATATATGTTATATAAAAGGAGCTCTGGTAGGTTAGTGGTTACGAATCGGACTGTGAACTGCAAAGTCAGCAGTTCGAAACTACCAGCTGTTCCGCGGGAGAAAGATGAGGCGTTCTGCTCCTGTAAAGATTTGCAGCCTCGGAAACCCTGTGCAGGGTCGCTATGAGTCGGAACTGACTCCACGGCACTTAACAACAACAACAACATATGTTATATATGATAATTTTCTCTTACCAGTACGTTCATCATGTGTCTTTAACTTTTCTGGATTTTCAGCAAGTTCTTAAGAATATGTATACTGTGTCATTTATTATTGCATCCCTTCCTTAATACTGCAACCTTCTGATAATTTGATCCAAGTTATTTACTCATCTATATTATGCAAGGCATTCTGGGTAACAGCAGGATTGACTTTTGACTTCAAGAGACATAAAAAGATTTTTAAATACAAGTGCAAGATAGGATGCTTATAAATAAAAGAGATCCAAGTTAGTCAACGATAGAAACATGAGTGGCATAAGTGGTTAAGTAACATGACGTCTAGCCAAACGGCTGGCAGTTTGAGTCCCACCCAGAGGTGCCTTGGAAGGCAAGCCTGGTGATCTGCTGTTAGAAGGAAACCCTGTGCAGTATAGTCTGCACACCTGGGTCACCATGAGTCAGAATTGACTCAGTGTCATAGAACAACAACAACAACAACAACAACAGGGGAGAGAGACCATGAAGGTGATTTCTGTTTTTACCCATATCATCCACTAGCATTGCCATGATTGATGTTGTGATATAACCCTGCTAAGGTAGTTTCATGTGACAGTTATTTGTATAGAAAACTGGGGGGGAGGATTTTTTTTCTTTAACTTTTCTGAGTTTACTTAAGTCTTGTTTACCTATTTTGGACTGTTTGGGGAGAGAACATTTTTTATGGTACATTAGTCTTCTGCCATTTTTGTGCTCCTACATGATCACATCTTTCGGAAGCTTAGAAATGTATGTAGTAAAAGGGAATTTATCTTAGCATTTCCTCTCATTCTCTCTTTCTTTTTAATAGCACTATTCATTCATTGCAAATTTTCTCTTAAAAATTACTAATGTGAATAGAGACATTAAATAGTGAATTAAATGCAGTCTAAATTTGAATGGACACATTTGATAGTTTCTCAGTTTCTCACCAAGGGCTTTTGTTTTTGCTTTTTAAAACCATCCACTTTGTGAGTGGTTTTGTAAGTGTTCCAGGTCATACCCACAAAGTCTGGGCAGCTTCTAGAACTACCATGTACCCTGGCTCTGGGATTCCCCAGGGCATAGGTCCAAGTGACTTGGTCTAGAAGAGCCATTC